TTAAATACAAGATTAATAGTAGTTATTAAGATTGATGTCGTTTGGAATTGATAACATGTGCTTTGAAAAAAAATATGATCAGAATTTCAACTTGCATAATTTTTATGTATGCACTGTATTTTTCCTCTTCTGCTGTCGAGGTAATGCAAGGAATGTTGTGATTGGTTGTCAAAGGCAGCCAATCAGAATTTAGCAGCTCTGATTGGCTGGAATTATGGCATATTGTAACGCTGGGTTGTGTTGAGCAAGTGAGCCGTTGGCATTTAGAGAGCACTGAGGGTGGGCATCAGGTGAGCAAGCTAGTGAAACGTTGCACGCGCAAAGGAGGTCTGCACACATCCAAAAACTTATTTTAAATGCAAAATTGATTTTCGTGTGCTTGAAATACTTTCTTCTTTGCGAGACAAACATTTTCTCCACAAAATGCACAAAAAAATCTTTTGCCCACTCAAAATATGATCTTTCGCGTGCAGAATTCTGGCAGAGATGTAATCCCATAGTGCTGCACGCGTGCTTCTTGAGAAAACAAACATACAGCACAGCCTGTGTGTTCTGATTCAAGCACTTGACTCTCATGAATCTTTTAACGAATTGCCCCAAAGACATAAGAGATATCTGTTCGAATCAGTATAACGAATCCTTCATTAACACCGAAACCGTCAAGAGAACTGAACATGCCTCATTGAATTGATTCCATGTCAATGGGTCAATATTTTAAAGGGGTCATCGGATGCAAAATTCACTTTTGTTGTTGTTTGAACATGTGTGTTGGAAGTGTGTGTAAACATCCATCCTATAATGATAAAAATGCACCCACTGTTTTTAAAAAAATCCCTATTTTAAAATCCCCTTTCTCAAATCAGACTGTTCTGAGATTCCTGTCAGAATGACATAGTTCTGAACAGGCCACTCCCACAATAGTTGATTGACAAGGCCGTCTTACCTTAGACCTGCACTTAGTGAGCTGTCATCAGTCCGCCATAGTGTCGACTCCAGTGCAGGGGAAGACAAGAATGTCTCAGATTAAGCGATTGAGGTGTTTTGTTGTTGGATGTAATGAACATAGCAGTCATCATTTACTCCCGACATCTGAGCTGCTGAAGACGCAGAGGATTAACGTTACTTTCATTTTGAAGGGAATGCGCCGATCCCCGATCTGCCTAAATGCGTCTATGTTCGCGCAAATCATTCGTGATCGAGAAGTGAGTATAAGGTTTTTTTGAATCTTTGCAAATCGCCTTTCCTAATATGTGCTTGTTAGCAAGTTTTGCGGCTAAAGTAAACAGTACTGCTCGTCACCCACAGAAGAGAGGGGCGGTGTGAGCAGAGCTCATTAGCATTTAAAGCAACATGGACTAGAATGGCTGGCTAAAAACAGAGCACATTTTGACAGGGTAAAAAATTTGTTTTTACACTACCATTGAGAAATTTTAACCAAAGTACAGTATGTTATAGACTTTTCAAGACCCTAAAGAATCATGTCAACTTATATCAAATGGGCATCCGATGACCCCTTTAATAGTTAGCTATAGGCTGCTCTTTCTATACCACCAAGAAAGCAACACATATTTTGTTTATAATTAGTGAAATTTAATTTTGTCACTTGATTATAAATGGCTGTCATCTCAGTACATTTAATGAAAGTCTGTTTTCCTTAATTGTCATTTCAATTGAATATCAGCATTTGAGAGATTTAGTCAGTCAAACACTTTTACAGCTAATTTGCCTGACAGTGTTTCTCTTGAAAATAGTGATCTATGACATTGTATTAGGCCTATGTTGAATATCAAAAGTTTCAGTGTCTTTTTGTTAATGAGGGATTTGTGGAAACATTTAAGTTGTCAAAAATGTTTTAATGCATAGCATTAACATTATGCCCATGCTAAACTTAAATCTAAATATGTTATTCTTAAGAGGGCATCTTACCCTATACTTTACAGACATGTCTTTGTTCATGTTTATCTTCATTTTTATAGCACCATATGCCTTGTGGTAATGCAATGAAATCGATCAGTACGCCTAACCAATGTAATTATATGACAAGGACAATAAAATTTAAAAACAACAACAAAAAAAGATGCACTTTTTCCTCTATAATACAAAAATATTGTTCAGTTTTTTACCATCACCACAGGACCATTATTTACATTTAGGTTTTATATACCATAATAAAAATTGAAGAGTAGCCTATCAAAGACATAAGTACCTATGTCTGTTCAGGAGTGAGTATATTTGTGCAGCTAATGTTTGGAGGTCAGCACTCATGTGCATCTACTGATTGACATCTTTCTTTGGGATTTAATAAATATGTATGTGTCTACATGGCCAAGATGAATACATATGATAGAAGGCAGACTTTTTAAATTCATCTTCTTTTTCTTTCACCAGATCGCCCGGTTCAGCAGGCAGTCTGCATATTGCAGTCAGCACACGTCGGACTTGCTGTTTGTTCTGTGTGTGTGTGTATGTGTGTGTGTCTCTGTTTGAAAGAAGGACGGGGGTGTATGGAAAGCTCATACACAAGACTAGAGAGAATCAGAGAGTGAGGGAAAGAGAAAGGACAGAAATCAGAAGGATCCATCTCAGAATTAACAAAGAGAACAGCTGAATGATCATTCATTCTTCTGCAGAGAGGTGAGTGCATGGCATCTCTGTTATGTGTGATTCAAATGGAGAAGCAGATGACTTTTAACATCTCCGGGAGAACGCAAAAACCAGGTCAGGAGAGCAGGTCAATGCACTTGCCTTGCATCTTTGTCTGAGTGGTCTGTGTGGCTAGTTTGCGTATATGCCACATCCTGTTGATCCTTTTCATGAAGGAATGAGCTTTTCGTCTTTATCAATCAAAGCTTGACTACTGTAGTTCCGATCTCACTGTCATGCTGTTTTTCCAGATATTTAATAACTAGTGTGGTTTGAAGACAGACGTCAAAATTGTCAGTGCGAGTAGCCGCATTTTGTTGGTGGCAGATTCTGTTGTTTTCATTAACGTACGGGTGACAGTGCGCCCTTTTAAATGTTTGTTTTTGGGTTGCCATGCAACAAAAGTGAGTGGAACAGGAAATTGATGAAATGATAGATGTGGCTGTACTAAGAGCATGCAGTGATTGACCAAACTGTTGAAACATATGCCCACACCCCTCTCACAGATACCTTTGAAGGTGATATTGTCAACCAATTAGATGATGAAAACACTCCACAGACTTGTTAAAAAATATTGGGTTCATGCATTAAAAATAGCTGTTTTTTATAGCATCACATCATTCGCAGGGTCTCTTTTGTCCTTGTCTCCTGGAACAGACGTCAGCTCGCTCTCTCAGCTCCCAGACGTCTGGCTTCCTGTCTACGTATAATATCCATGAACTGTTTCAAAATGTATCCCGTTCACACTATCAGCGACAGCACAACCACACAACTGCGTCAAAAGATGATGTTCAGAGACTAGCACCTGTGGCTGATAGTGCTAGAACCATTTCAGATGTACCACAAAAGACGCAACCGTCCAGGTTACTGTCTCTTAGCAACAGCGGGCCATTCACCTCTACTGTGCTGGTTGCCAGGAATGACGATGTTTCTTAGAGCTCAAAGGAGAGAGTCATCGGCTAACAAGACATGCATATACGCACTCTTCCTCTTTTAGATCTAACAGACTGCGAATGCAGGAATGCATTTCCGCCGACGGGTGTCTGAGGGGATTTAAATGAAAGAATCTTCTAGAATCTGTGCGAGTGGAATGAGTTTAACTGAAATTTTACTCTTTTCCCCAGGTCTTCGCTGGTGGTTTCAAGCTTAGCATCATCCTGAAGAGCTACAAAACATAACGTTCATAAACAACATTCATAAAAGTCGACAAAGACGTGATGCACACTCCAGTGTCCATGCTGTTGGGGGTGGTATTCGCTCCCTTGGGCCTTGTGCTGGTGTTCACTGCAGCGATCACGCCGCAGTGGAGGGAGGGACAGGCGCGGTTGGGTGCGGCAGGGCGTGCCGGAGCAACGGAGCTCCTCCTACTTCGTTCGGACGGCCTATGGGAGAGCTGCCTGCAGGTGGTGCACTCTGAAGTTAAAGAGTGCTGGCCCGTGTCGGGGTCCTACCAGCGGGATGCTCGGGTTCGAATGGTCCAGGGGATGGTGCTGTCATCTCTTTTCCTGTGCGGTGCAGGGATTGTCCTCGCCAGCGTGGGTGTCCGCTGCTGGACTGATATCCCGCTTAGGAGCGTAGCGGCAGCTGGTGGCCTGTTGGTGGTGCTGGCGGGTGTGCTCAGTCTGGCTGCGTTAGGAGTGTACACTCATAATCTTTCAAAGCTGGGGATCGAGGTGGATTCAACCGTATCAGAGATGCAAGGACTCAACGTACACAAGCCACCCCGACTAACGTTACACCCGGCCGGGTCGCTTTATTTCGGGTGGGTGGGAGCTTGGGTACAGGTGCTGGGAGGGGCCGCGCTGCTTTTTGGGTTCAAAAGCATGAAGTGTTCATCCTGCCATAAGCAGAGACTCAAAGACAGTGCAGAGATGTATGAGGTGAACTGTTAGATGGATGAAGGTGAAGGTGAAGAGACTTATGGTGTTTAAACACACTGGCACTTGACTCAATGTAGTGCAGCTGTAGTGTTTATGAATTGGACAAATAAGACATGGGAAATGATACACGTGATGTTTCTAAAAAGAACTATATTAAAATATGTAGGAAACTGTTAACAGAAGCCTTAAGGCCTGTTCACACCAAGAACTATACTATAAAGATAACTATAACAATAACTCTATATTAGCGTCCATACCAACAAAGTCAGGTTAATTCTGATTGTCAATGTTTTTGTCATGAATCTTTTTGAAAGCGATTTCAAAGACATCGCTCCTCTGTGTCGTTATCATTATTGCTTTAAAACTTTATATGGGTATCGTCCTTGGTGTGAACAGGATGTCGGTTCACACAGAACACGCTTTTGCTTTCTTCTGCGCTTTATAATTTTTTCTGTATTCTACAATTCTATTTATTTACTGTTTTGTTTTTGCTTTTGTCAATTTTTAAAAACATTACTCGAGACATTGCGTTCCTTTTTACTCTCATGCGACGCGCCTCATTTAAACGCAAAGATGCGTTCTGTGTGAACGGTCCCTCAGCTGATAAGACAAATATTGTAGCCTATGAGTTGTCTATTTCGTGGCAGATTTTACTGTTGATCACGACAGTACTGTATTATTCTTTCCAAAGCTGTCGTAAAATGAAAGCAATGTACTAGTGTCACAAGGCTGTTGGCATTTGTGGCTTTTCCGCTATTACTGTCTTTACTTGATAAATCTTAACGTTGTAAATATGTGTAGTTATTGACTGCAATACTATGTGTTAGACTACTGATTAAATGTTTCAAAGCATTTTTTTCCTGCTGCCCATGCCATGTGAAAAGTAAGACTGCTTGTAATTGTAATAGGCCTATATCATCACACCTGCACAAACTATCTATTGGCTTGTCATGCTAACTAATAATGATTGTACGCAAAACTACTTTTTTTGTTTAAATACACAGCCACCTGACCTGTACATTCCCACATCACAAAGAGATGAGGTCAGAAAATGTCATTAATCTAAATAATTTTTTTTTTTGAGACAATCAAATATTCTACTTGAAAATTAAAATTGAAGATCTTTTTTCAAAAAATATTTAACAAGTATTTAATCCAATTTCAGTGGAACAGGTGTGGTGAGATTGGCTTTGGCTCTGCATAAACATACAGCAATTATATACTTTGAATAAACAAGGCAAATGACAAATATCATTCAAATCTCATGTTTCAATTTCTTCTTATTTCATAACTTTGTTTATATCGTATAAACAAAAATTAACAGTAACATAAAATAAATTATTATTACATTTTGGGACTTTTTCCTTTCTCTACAGGAGCATGAAGACACAAAAACACCCAAGTCATTTAACACTCACTGCTCTCTTTCTAGAGATGATTTTGTCAGTTTAGGACAAAAATGTTTGACTTTATAACCAGTTTTTGCCTTGGATAAATAAAATAAAAAAAAAACACTATTTGCCTGGTGACATTTTAAAATAGAATAAAAAGAGAGTAAAGCTGCAGAAGCAATAATATATATATAAACACAGCCATTTTATGCATGATTATACACTGTTGGTATAAAAACACTAAAAGACTCAAAGGAACAGGTGACTGGAGTGTGAAACACCTCATGACCAAAACACATGGCGCCACTGTGTGGCAATTCTAGGGAAATGACCATTGCTGGGCATTTAATACAAACTATGCACAATGAGGTATATTTTTTTCCCTCAGGAAATATAGTTATAACTTGTTTTCAGGATCTGCACGGTCATAAATTTTCTACATAATAAAAAGAATACATTCTTATAAAAGCATACTTTCTTGTCTATCTTGTCTGAACATACCAGAAACATTCATAAAATGTTTCTGACATATTTAGGGAAACCTTTCACACATACCTGACATAAAAACAAATATGCATCATATTCATATAATTAATCTAAGCCTCCGTCCTCACCACCCTCGACGGTGGGCGGCCCAAGGGTATGTGGACATCCCTCCGGTTGAGCGCGCGATGCAGCTCGGCCCGCAGAGCGCCGCCGCCTGGAGAGGTAGTCCACGCCTTCCGTCCAGGGCCTGTAGGTTCTCATCCGCTCTGACGGCTAAGGCTTACAGTGCCGCTGGACAGGCCGCTTCCGCCCTGCACGCCATGGCCCTCCTGCAAGTCCACCAGGCCAAGGCGTTGAAGCAGTTGCACGAGGGTGGTGCTGACTCGGGTGGGCTGCAGGAACTGCGCACGGCGACGGACCTCGCGCTAAGGGCGACGAAAGTCACGGCGCAGGCCCTGGGCAGAGCAAAAATATGCAGGTAAACATGAGGTGGGAGTATTTAAGAGGTTAAACGCTTTGGCGTTCACACAATCTCCAGTGCCACGGGCCGACCGACACTTGCTCTATATGTCTGACTCTGAGCGTCTGCTGACTCACTGCTTTAACTGCAGCTCCTCAAGTGCTACTCAAGAGGTCAAAGCCATTAAGATTCATTTTAGAGTTCAGAGCTTTTCATAACGAGGCTAAGATCGACTAGTGAAACCTGGCAACAGAATATCTGGACAATTGTGCCTGAAAATAATGGACCTAAATGGCATGAAACTCTTTAGAAGAGACTAACTGAGTCGCCTGATATTGGTCTAATATTATCATTTGTCAAACGAGTGGGGGAATGATACATGATATTTAACATAACTGACAAGGGTTCTCTCCTGAAATCATATCATCAGCTCTATTTTTAGAGGTAACAAGCACCTGAGTTCCACTGGTCATGGGACAAATCATGAAGTGTAAAAGAGAGCTCCAATCTGTAGTGCTATTACATAACGTGCTCCACTCCAAATTACTGCAGAGGCGCCATGCAGTGGCTGTTGAATTATCTGACCAAACACTAAAAAACGTATTTTCACAAAAATATATTTTTAAATAACAAATACAAGCCTTTCCTGCTTACAGGCCTTTACCAACCATTACAATAATGGTTCTCAACTAGTTGGCCAATCCTAGTTGGACTTCAGCAAGCTTCCAGGGGGCCCAAATCAGTCTTTTGGTATAAGACAGAAATTATTTTGGTAACAGACAGAAATTCTGTCATTAATTACCTCCTGTCGTTCCAAACCCATAAGATCTTCTTTCATCTTTGGAACACAAATTAAGAAATTTTAAATGAAATCTGAGAGCTTACTGACCCTGCATAGACAGCAACGCAACTGACACGTTCAAGGCCCAGAAAAGTAGTAAGGACATTGTTAAAATAGTCCATGTGACATCAGTGGTTCAACCTTAATTTTATGAAGCTACAAGAATACTTTTTGTGTGCAAAGAAAACAAAAATAATGTCTTTATTCAACAATTTCTTCTCCTCCGTGTCAGTCTTTGCCACACATTTATGAAAGTAACACAACGCATTCTCGTAGCTTCATAAAATTACGGTTGAAACACTGATGTCACATGGACTATTTTAATGATGTCTGACTCCTTACTACCTTTCTGGGCCATGAACGTGTCAGTTGCGTTGCTGTCTATGCAGAGTCAGAAAGCTCTTGGATTTCATAAAAAATATCTTAATTTGTTCTCTGACAATGAACAAAGGTCGTACGGCTTTGGAATGACATGAGGGTAAGTAATTAATGATAGATTTTCATTTTTGGGTGAACTATCCCTATCAATTTAGTCATATTAACATAATCTTGATTAAAAATGTAAAATATCGAACTGACATTTTATTTTTGAATTAAGTTATTTTTATTACAACTGATCACATCAGTTTTCAAATACTGTTCTGGACAAAAGAGGGCCTTGGAGTCAAAAAGGTTGAGAACCACTGCATTCGAGGCACCAAAAGAGAATGTCAAAAAACAATCTGTTTCCCAAAACAGATTGTTTTTTATCCTCCTTTTCCTTTCACTCTGTCTTCATGAAAAATTCTACTATCCCACAGAATATTTATTAACCATTTTTTAAAGGAGCTTTTTAAATAATTAGATGAAGCTGTTTTTTATTCTCGGTAATATAAAGATATTCAAAAGATAAATTTTTATTCATAAGTGTAAAAATAAACTCAGCTGTCAGCAGTTTTGGGGAAAGTTACTTTTAAAAGTAATGCATTACAATATTGCGTTACTCCCTAAAAAAAGTTACTAATTACGTTACTTAGTTACTTTTTATGGAAAGTAATGCGTTACGTTACTTTTTAAATCTGGGCAGGGCTTGCTTGTTTGTTTTTAATATAAAAAAGTTCTTCTTTTACAAACATAAAAGCCCTTTCATAAGAAAAGTGAAATGAACGCCTCAGGCTAAAGGAAATGTAAATTCACGTCTGTACAGTAGAGGGCGCAGCGCAAACAAATCGCATGAAGAATATGACACAGGAGAAGAAAGTTCAACACTATTCAGCAATAACTAAAATCAAACACAAATGTGTAATTTTTGATTATTAGTATGGTTGAATTGGATCATCGAATGTCAGTAGCAAAGACATTGGTTAATAAAATGGGATTAAATACATAAATGATATTTGTCTTATTTAACATTTAATTATTGCAGGTTTGTATAATATTCTAAGTTTTCATTTGACTGTTTTTATACATTTTGAGGAATACTGAATCTGTTTTTGTTCAGGTGAGATGAGTAAACACATGTTCATATTTGGTCTAGAACTACAGTAAGATCATGTTCACACACAACGCTCTGCACTTACTCCTGATTTCCTCAACAAGGCATCACCAGAGCTGTCAGTCAATACATGGAAACAAAGTAACTGGAGTTACTTATTTGAAAAAGTAACTCAGATATTTCCTTCTAAATGAAAAAGTAATGTGTTACTTTACTAGTTAATTAAAAAAAGTAATCTGATTACGTAACTCGCGTTACTTGTAATGCATTACCCCCAACACTGGCTGTCAGTATATGCAATTTATTCTAAACTCTCCCACACAGTATTTGCACTATTTGTGAAGTCAACCTGTGAATTGCTTATGGTTGGCTATGCAGACTAAACTTTAAAAAAGTACCTTCACATCACACACTCCACCTTTAAAAATACAATGTCATTGCATCTAACACATATATTTAAATTCAAAGGTCAAAGCATAATCATTTGCACATGAAGAGAAACTGCGCAGCAAGATCTAATCATTGTGACATTTCGCTACTCAGTGACTTTTACAAAATGCTCTCTAAGCTATGAAGTCATGAATGACTGTCGTTTGGATGCAGCGGTAGAGAAAATGCTTGTTTACATGCAGCCGCACTCACTTGCTCATGTCGGTTACATTATCAGCAGCGAAGAAAAAATTCTGGAAGCGCTGGTGGCACATTTTAAATACACTAGAAGATAAAGAGAGAGAGAAAGAGATCAGATAATAATATCATTAATCTTAGGGCAGAGGCTTTAGCAGCTTAATGAAGAGACAAAAACTCATTTGTCATTATGGTGGCAGGTTGTGCTGTTCAGTGTCTGTGGACTGCGGGGGAAGATCTGAGGAATGTAAAGTGTAATTCTGTTATTCACACATCTCCGGCTGACTGCCCTCCTGCGTCTGATACTCTCACAGCCAACCACAAACACAGAGTCCGAGGAGACCGACGACTTCTGTTTCTTTATGACAGTGTGAACACAAACAATCATGCTGAACGGGGTCTAATGTTGTTCAGTCAACAGTTACATTTCCCTTCAAATTTGACTTAGCTGCAAATAATGAATGGGTAACCAGAAGCAGCGTGTTCTGTATAGTGCAGGAGATACTCACTACTTCCTCTTGTGTTCTCCTGCGCTCTCTATATTGTAGCTGCCGATCTTGATTAAGCCCTCCGCCTTCTCCTCCTGCACAAAAATATGGGTTTAATAATTATTTTAAGTACATCTACATTACCAGATTTTGTTAAGAGATAAAGATGCACAGATATTATAATTCTGGCTGATACAAAGCTGATAATTAGTCTCATGTTATGGATAAATAGCCGATACTAAAATTCTACACTATTTTGTCTCAGTAAGTTAAAGGAATCGTCAACCCCAAAACAAACATAATTCTGTCATAACTTCTATAATCTCTATCATTTTTCTCACCATCATATCGTTCCAATCCTGTATGACTTTATTTTTTCTGGGGAACATGACATTTAATATTTTGAAGAATGCTGGTAAACATACGGTTTCCAAAAATACAATGGAATTCAATTGGTACCAAAACTGATTTTTTTTTTACAAACAACAGAAAATGACAGAATTTTCATGTTTGGGTGGACTATCCCTTTAAAAACAAAAGTTTCATTTAAAATACAAAAAGTAAATTTAGGCATCCCAGCATTATAATGTACAGTATGAAGAATTGATATTCATTTTAAGATTTGTTAGAGATTATATTTTACAGTTATTTTATGTTTTATAAATGAGCATTAGATGATGAAAAAGGTCATCTAATTTAAAAATAGGAGAAAATAAAAGCACAATTAAATATCTATCGGCCAATAAAAAAGTTATATCATCCATCCAATATGTTACCAATACATTGCAAGCAGGGTTTCATTCAATTTTACAAAAAAAATCTTAATATAATAATTTTAAGATACTAGTAATTGGTTACACAGATTGGCACTTTATAAACTTGTACTAACCTGTTGGCTGGTATACCAATACAGTGTAGGACCTTTCAGGACAAACCAAAATCTCTGCCATTTCTGAGTCATGAAGACATTTGTATCTTTTCTTTTCTTCCAGAGCCATCCGTCACAGTCTGGGCGGCCAAGTTCACGACAGGACACCCTCCTCCGGCTCAACGCTGTCCGTGTTCCTTAAGTGTTCATATGAATCAGGATAGTGTCATTATTTTACAATGAATGAAATAAGATGTCCTTGAAAAAATAGTAAATGAACAAATCCATGCCTGACCTTTAGTAGAGCTCTTTTTGTTCTCCTTTTCCTCCTGCGGTAAAAAGAAACGTATAATTACTTTGAGATCACAGGGTTTAAAGAAGACCTTCTGCTGATTTCATCAGTTGCCACATTAGAAAGACTTTATTGTGAGATGCCCCAACAGATGCTTCTCAATGACTCATGGCACACTCAAGTTTATCATGCTCAAGGGCACAAGGATGACAAATCATTATAGTACCTCTCCAAAATGGACCTTGCTTTTTGACTATGAAAAAGTGCAAAGTGTACTGAGTTGTATGTCATACCAAATTAATGCTTATAAATGTAATAAATGTTTTTTGTTCTTACTCTTAGTCCTGCCATGTCAGGACAGGAGCTTGTGCTGGCTCGGTTGAGCTCTGAGCTTTGTGGGGACGGACTCCTTTCTGCAGATGAACCTATTTCCAAACTCTTTCGACTTGCACGCAGAGAATCTACAAAAGCGAAGACAGATTGAAACATTTTTTAGAGAGCCTATAAGATGAAATCGGAGCTGTAAATGTCTGTAAGCTAAACAACAAATCTATATGCTCAGCAACAAAGAATACTTAAGAAACTATGGCAGATGAAAAGACTAGCTTAAAATAAAATCAATTAAAGTGCTGCTCCAGGCTATTTCATGCTGCTTAGTACTAGTTTAGCTGTAAAGCCATGTTATTGACTAAACAATATTGTATTCTTTCTTCAGAACATAATTGGGCCAATATTATATATATATATATATATATATAAAATATAAAATGTCTTCGATATTTTCTGTAAAGTCTGCTGTGACTCTTACCTGCCCCTGGCTTTAAGGTGTTTGGCTGATGTTCATTAGAGCTTTGTTCACTAGAGAGCGCTGATTTCTCCCGTCTGAACTGATGTGTGCCGTCTGATGCTGATCTGTGGTACATAAACACACACACACACATATACACTATATAAGCATATAACACTAACAAATTAATCGAAAAACACAGTCAGCTAAGTGGCCCTTTGCAGCGCTACATATACAGAAGCAGCTTTAATGCGATGAAAACTGACCCAAACACACATTCTACAGGTGCTTCTCAATAAATTAGAATGTCGTGGAAAAGTTCATTTATTCCAGTAATTCAACTCAAATTGTGAAACTCGTGTATTAAATAAATTCAATGCACAAGTATTCTAATTTGTTGAGATAGTGAATTGGTGGGTTTTTGTTAAATGTGAACCAAAATCATCACAATTAAAAGAACCAAAGACTTAAACTATACTTCAGTCTGTGCACTGAATTTATTTAATACACAAGTTTCACAATTTGAGTTGAATTACTGAAATAAATAAACTTTTCCATGACATTCTAATTTATTGAGATGCACCTGTATAGTTCATATTCAAATCCAGTTCAACCATGCTATACACACACACAGACCTGAGATAGTGGATCGCACGCATGTCCTCACTGTAGCTCACAGAAAACAGTTATGAAACAAGAATTTAGTTTATGAAACACAGGCAGAGAAATGGAGACTTTCACTTCTTATACAAGTTTACTGTAAAAAAGTAAAATAATGGAAAGCACAGACTCAAGGCTAAGCATTATGGTTTTTCTCAGAGAGGCAGACAAAACTATCCTATTATATCCTACCCTATTGTAAAGCCTCTAACTACTATAATATCTTCACCTCAATGATGTTTTAACAACAAACATGAAATGAGCGACAAGAAATGCCTCTACAGAGCCTGAAAATCATGCAAATTTAGCAGCAATATAGTGATTATAGGAGCGTCTGAGGATATTAAGCTGAACCCACCTGAAGGACAGAGAGCGGACTGAAGCTGCCACCCTGCCCAAAAGAGAATGTCTGTTTTTCTCTTCCTCTTCCTCCTCTCTCTGAAAGTAAGGAATTGATGAGATTGATGAGATGTTTGGAAAACCCCAATTTCACAGCAGAGAGTGACTCATGTGGCAAGTGTGTTTTTTTGTGGCAACACATTTTAGGTGTGTGACAACGAGTTCATGAGCACATTTTCATGCCTTGTGAATGGTCGTGGTGAGTTTGTGACAGGTTTAAGTACTTTTATGTGTCTTTTTCCAGTAAGACTGTGTGCCTGTGTTTGGGTTTATTAAGCAGTACTTTGGGGGCAATAATATATATAAATATATATAGTGCCGTGAAAAGGTTTTTGCCCCATTCCTGTTTTTTTAATTTTTTGCTTATTTGTGGCACTTAAAAGATTCAGATCATCAAACAAATTTTTATATTACACAAAGATAATGCAATTTATTAAGGGAAAGAAGCTGTCCAAACCTGCCTGGCCCTACGTGAAAAATGAATGGCCCCCTCCTGTTAAATCATGAAAGAACTGTGATTAACCACATTATTTTAGAAAGCGAAGTTAAATTTCACTATCCACACCCGGGCCTGATTACTGCCAGACCTGTTGAATCAAGAAATCACTTAAAAAGAACCTGCCTGACAAAGTGAAGCATGCTTAAAGAGCAACACATCATGCCACGATCTAAAGAAATTCAAGAACTGATGAGAAACAAAATAGTTGACATGTATCAGTCTGGAAAGGGTTATGAAGCCATTTCTAAGGCTTTGGTACACCAGTGAACCACGAATATTATCCACAAATGGAGAAAACTTGGAACAGTGGTGAACCTTCCCAGGAGCGGCCGGCCAACCAAAATTACTCCAAGAGCGCAACGTCGACTCATCCATGAGGTCAAAAAAGCACCCAGAACAACATCTAAAGAACTGCAGGCCTCACTTGCCTCAATTAAGGTCAGTGTTCATGATTCAACAATAAGAAAGAGACTGGGCAAAAACGGCATCCATGGGAGAGTTCCAAGGCAAAAGCCATTGTCTCACAAAAACCAAAAAATATCTTGATTATCCCCAAGACTTTTGGGCAAATATTCTGTGGACTGATGTGACAAAAGTTGAACTTTTTGGAAGGTGTGTGTGCCGTTACATCTGGTGTAAAACCAACACAGCATTTAATAAAAAGAACATCATACCAACAGTCAAACACGGTGGTGGTATTGTGATGGTCTGGGGCTGCTTTGCAGCTTCAGGACCTGGATGACTTGCCATAATTGATGACTTGCCATGAATTCTGCGCTCTATCAGAAAATCCTGAAGGAGAATGTCCGGCTGTCAGTTTGTGATCTCAAGCTCAAACACATTTGGGTTATGCAGCAGGACAATGGTCCCAAACACACCAGCAAGTCCACCTCTGAATGGCTCAAGAAAAATGAGATTGTCCAAGTCAAAGTCCGGACTTAAATCCAATTGAGATGCTGTGGCATGACCTTAAACCGTCCCCAGTCATGCTCGAAAACCCTCCAATGTGGCTGAATTAAAACAATTCTGCAAAGAAGAGTGGGCCAAAATTCCTCCACAGCGATGCGATAACTGGCAATGAGTCTTTCACAAACGCTTGATTGCAGTTGTTGCTGCAAAGGGTGGCACAACCAGTTATTAGATTTTGGGGGCAATTACTTTTTCACGTAGTGCCACGCAGGTTTGGGCAGCTTTTTCCCTTAATAAATGAAATCATTATTTAAAAAATGCATTTTGTATTTACTGGGGTTATCTTTGTGTAATATTAAAATGTGTTTGATCTGAATCATTCAAGTGTGACAAATATGCAAAAAAAAAAAAACAGGAAGGGGTCAAAAACTTTCACACCACTGTGTGTGGGTGTATATATTTTTTAGTTTTTTCTAAATATGCAAAAGTTTACTTTTATGATTAGTAATTTACTTTAGGCTATATGAAAACAATAGATATCTACAGCACATCCTCATTTAAACGTGTATACACTGCCATTCAAAAGTTTGTGATCAGATTTGTAATGCTTTTTAAAGACCGTAATATTGTGAGATATTATTAACAATGTACGCCTTTACCATCACTTTTTTATTAATTTAACACACCCTTGCTGAAATAAAATAAATTTATTTCAAAACAACAAAAAAGAAAAAATTATCGACCCCAAACATTTAAACGGTTGTGTATATTATTACAAAATATTTATTTTATTTAAATAAATGCTTTTTTCTTTTTTTTCCCTTTTTTTTTCCTTTTTATTCCTCAAAGAATCCAAAAAAATAAAAAATATCACAGGTTCCAAAAAAATATTAAGGAGCAAAAACTGTTTCCAACATTGATAATAAATCAGCATATTAGAATGATTTCGGAACGATCATGTGACACTGAAGACTGGAATAATGATGCTGAAAATTCAGTTTTGCATCACAAGAATAAATTGTGTTTTAAAGTATATTAACATAGTAAACCAATATTTTAAATTGCAATAATATTTCATAATATTAATGCTTTTTTCTGTATTTTTGAACAAATAAACGCAACTTTGATGAGCATAAGAGACTTCTTCAAAACATATATAAAAAACGTCTCAGGTTACTTATGTAACCATGGTTCCCTGAGTAGGGAACGAGACACTGCGTCCTCTAGGGGTCGCTATGGGGAACGCCTCGTCGTGACCCGTGTCTGAAGCATACATTGAAAAAACACCAACTCGTTGGCCGGCGACAGCCATGACGTCACTACCGGTGTCTGATCCCAAACTTCTGAACAGTAGTGTATGGCAGGGTTATTATCATTAACTAAAACCATAAAAATCATTCATTACCTGGGGGGAGGGGGGATTAAACTTATTTTATTCCTAAAATAATAATAAAAAACGAATAAAAAATGACAAAAACACAACATTTTACGAAAATAAAAACAGAAATAAAAATTACATCTAATTTAAAATATTTAAAAAACTTTTAATAGTATTATCAATGATACTAAAACAACACTGAAATGTGCTTGATAACTCGAAAATGAATGTGAAAGAAGTCTTGTGTCTGCATTCATCAGTATGTAATGGGTCTGGTAAGGATCTGTGTGTTTGTCACATCCCCGTGGATCAGTCCCTCAGGGTCACCAACAGACCCAATCATTTTAAAAGCCACATGACTGCTACATCACACACTGTCCTAATGAGTGTTTGTAGTCACAGGAGACTGGAGGGAAGGAAGTTGCTGTTGTCATGACGATGCCCTTAATGCACAACAAGTTCATATGAAAATTAGATTGTTTCTTTCATTCAAAAATGTTTATTTTAGTGTGAATGTCTTAGTCTGCTTGTGTGAGAGAATCTGTAATCATCTCAGTGTCACAAAGAGGAAATGTGTTGCTTATTGAACAAGTACAACCACATGTGACGTGTGAACATGTGACGTCAATAAATCTGTTGCAAAGCAACCGCTAAAAGAACCAACAGAGTAAAATGCTTGCAGCACCTCATATGAGACTCATGTGTTCATTTCTATCTGGTTATTAACACTGTCAAAACACTTTGGCTTTGTTTAGTCAGGCAGACTGCAAATATCTTTTTTTTTACTGTATCCGATTTCACCAGATTCAAAGCACATACAATACTGATTAGAAATCTGATATTTTTTCATTATTACTACCTGAATGTACATTAATTTATACTCACTCTTTCATCACATAGAGAACTACATGACATTCATTATATAGTGAATAGTAAATTAACAAATGTCACCAAAATGTATTATGTCAACAATTATTTTGAAAATGCTTAAAGTGGCATATGTTGAAGAAAAGGACGAGCCTCTAGTACCTCAGACTTGGCTCGGCTCTCCTTGCGTTTCAGGAACCCTGGAAGCCTCCTCAAAACCAGAGTGACTCCATTTGGATTTTCCTCCAGTTTTTGAACAAGGTTTGTCCGGCTCCAGCCAACCTGAAATAGGATGTATCGTTTACATTGCATGAAATAAATGCATATTTGCATCCAAAATGGTGCTTCTTTTGCACCTAATGCTTGTCGCTGCAACTAACTTTGGGTCATTTTCAGAAAACTGTGCTAGATTTTTAAAAATAATTTCATTTAAAATGGCTTTTTAATCTCTTTTTCTTTATTTGAAATAACTATTGTTTTTCTTCTGTGCCTATCAGTAATTGCAGGACACTGGGCCACAAGCTATTACTAATCCAAATTAGTGGACAAAAGACATCTGCTCAAATCCAGCAGGTAAGTCATCAAATGGACCGAAGAGTCTTACTGTGCCAACCCGGGGTTCAGCCCCTCTCATTAGAACCCTGGCTAATTTCCTTCCTTACAGCAGTCTTTATGTAAATAACACCAGTATATCACTATTAGTACAGTTAAACATCATTAGCATTAAAAATTTTCACTTACCACTATCTGTCCGTTGACCTGAATGACTTCATCTCCCGCTAAAATCTTCTCACAGATCTCTGTAGGAGACTGTAAGACAGGATTTATGGTTATGCACAACACTGTTCTAAGACACACTACTGAGTAAAAGAGCACAAAAACACCTCTACCAATAATACCAAAGGAATGATTGCAATGGCTTAGAAGGAACCGCCACAAGCAGAAACCTCATGCCCATTCAAACTGGCATGTGCCCCTTTTTGAACCAACTGGATTTTGAATGCAACATCAACATCTTTAAGATTGGATGATTATTGCACTACCATTCAAAACTTCAGGGTCAGAAATATTTTAAAAATAATAAAATAATACTTTATTCTGTAAAGATATGTTATATTGGTCAAAAGTAAAGACTGACAGTAAAATTTTTTATAATATTACAAAATATTTCCAAGTAAAGTAAATGTGGTTCTTTTGAATGAAAGAATCCTTCCACAAAAATATTATGCAGTAAAACTGGTTTCAGCATTGAGAATGTTGCATTGATATTAAAGTAATACATGTTTCTTGAGAACCAAATCAGCATTATAATGATTTCTGAAGGATCATGTGACACTGAAGATTGGAAAGTTCAGCTTTGCAATCACATGAATAAATTGCATTTTGGAATATATTCATAGAAAACAGTTATTTTAAATTGTAAAAATGTTTCTGTATTTTTTAACAAATAATTGCAGCACTGGTGAGCATAAGACACTTCTTTAAAAAAAAAATCCCACCCCCAAACTTTTGAATGGTAACGTATGTTAAAATAATATATTTTGTGTGCATTAGTGTTTGTGTGTGTGTTTGACTAAATATGGCTCTTTTATTAAACTTTTTTTTAGATATATGATATCCCAACTCCCTCTTCCCCTATTTCTGACCCTAAAGAAAGCAGTTTACGTGGAAGCATAATTTTATCTCATTCTCACGAGTCATAACAGAAAAGAAAAATGAGCAAAAAAATGTGCAAACAATTCAAACCCATAATTCTTGTTTTAAGCAAGTCCAGAAACCTTTAAACTAGCCCACTTTTTCCCTAGGAGGAAGTTAACCTTTCGCTCACTCGGTTATGAGCCAATTCATTTACGTGTTCATTCACTGAAAACACATCCTCACACATCTCCCAGCAGGCAATTTAGGGAATGATTTACCCTGGTTTATGCCAGAAAAACACTAATTTCCCTCCCTAAATAAATACATTAAGAAAACAAAACGATACTTTTCTATCTTGGTCAAATATATTGAAGCGCAGGGGTACCATCAACCTGTCCTACCTCTGCTGCTGTTCCAGTGACAAAATGATTTCTGGATCCTGAGGTGGTGATCTCAATTCCCTATGTGAAAGAAATAATGTGCATATCAAGCAAAGAATATCTTAAACCTCAGCTAAACTAGAATTCAATGGATCTGACATTGGCTACTGTAAACGAGATGAGAATCTGGGCTGGTGATTGGTCCATGAACCTTGCTGATTTGCTTTAATATTCAGCCCTCCTTCCAGCATTATGACAAGAAATTCAAAAGGAGAACTGAGGAAGCATGTTCAGACCGGCACTGGTCAATGAATCGACTGCACTATCAGATGTCAGCCCAAGTTGGATCTAAATAGTATTGATTGTGCTGGAAATGTGCTGTAAGCACAGAGACCTCCTGCTTAAGAGACAATGAACCAGTATGGTCCAACCTCAGGCTAACTGAATCCATTAGTATCTGTCAGATCAATAATAATCAATCATGTCCAGTTATTATATTCTCTGAATCTTGCTTTCTCCAAAGCATGCCAAATAGAAACCTAATGAGTTTTCCCACAACCTCTATCGAGAAAACAGGAGAGGCAGGTCTCACTTGGCAAAAATCACAAGCATTTTTTTATATTTTGACAGACATTCCTTTGTCAATAAACTTCAGTGCACTGAACAGTGTGAAGCCCTGCTATTGGATTTCCTTGTATGGTTTGTGGATGACTGCCAATGTAATAATTCATGTTGCATTGTGTGTTTTGGGTCTGATTTGAAGACACACAAAATATAAAGGCCCCAAATTCACTTCAAATATGTCAAAAATTATAAAAAAAATTTAAAAAAAAGACTATGTGAGCTATCCTTCAGAGCATGACTGTTCTTAAACAAACCAGGGCAAATGTAAACCAATCATACAATTTTTAATTGAACATTTTACCAGTCCACAGACACCTTACAGAAGAACTCTCTTTTGTGGAGCTGCCATGTGTTTGCATCTAAGGTACAGAAAGGAAGAGCTTTACATAATTAAACTCTCTTTAAATATCTTCACCCTTAGCAACATATTAGCTGAATACAATACAAAGTGAAAGGACTGTCTGAGTAAAAATTATTTGAGCTGTGTTTAAAGAAGGGAGAAAGATGATGTTGAAACTCCATCTGTACCTCTAAGCATGATTAGTTCTTTATCATTCGCAAAACTATAATGTAAATTTAACCTCAGCAATGTATCCAAATAAATATTGAATACAGAAAACAAGACCACTAGAGTACGTTTTACAAGAAAATAATATTTCAGTCTTTCTACTTCAAAGTCTCATGTTTAATTCAATGCATTACTTGCCTTTTCCTTGTAATTAAAGGGATAGTTCACCCAAAAATGAAAATTTGATGTTTATCTGCTTACCCCCAGGGCATCCAAGATGTAGGTGAATTTGTTTCTTCAGTAGAACACAAACGAAGATTTTTAACTCAAACCGTTGCAGTCTGTCAGTCTTATAATGGAAGTGAATGGGAATCACGGCTTTGAGAGTCAAAAAAACATACACAAACAAAACCAAACTAAACCTATGGCTCATGAGATTACATTGATGTGTAAAGACACGAAACGATCGGTCTGTGCAAGAAACTGAACAGTATTTATGTAGTTTTTTACCTCTGATGCACTGCAATGTCTGAACTGTCCTGAGCGCGTCCTCGACAGCCATATCTCTCAAATGGACCATTGACATTCCTAATTGAGATTGTAGATAGAGTGTCAATGGTCCATTTGAGAGATAGGTGGCGGTAATGCACTTATAAGTCTGCGATCTACCGTAAAGCAAGAAGAAGAAGAAGACGCGTCACGTGCCAGCTGTCGAGGACGCGCTCAGGACAGTTCAGACATTGCGGTGAATCAGAGGTAAAAAACAATATAAAGTTCACAACGCAGGTTCGGGAGGAGCCTAATCAACCAGTCCTGCCAATCATCGTTTCGACCGTATATAAGCAGCAGTCATTGTTCCGTCCAAGCGACTATTCTTCCGGCATCCCTCCACCACCCCTTCTCCTCCTTTAAATCCCTTCTCTTTCATCCACACCGTATCATCATAGGGGGGTTTCTTACTTGGAGCTCAAGCCGAGCCTCGGGTTTCGAGCCTCATTCACGGACAGCAAGCCAAGTTCGTTTTACCATTACCTGGCAGGGCTGAATGGGCAGGCGAACTCGTAATAAATACTGTTCAGTTTCTTGCACAGACCGATCGTTTCGTGTCTCGTGATCAATGTATCGTCAGGAGCTGCAGGGTTTAATTTGGTTTTGTTTGTGTATGTTTTTTTGACTCTCAAAAGCCGTGATTCCCATTCACTTCAATTATAAGACTGACAGACTGCAACGGTTTGAGTTAAAAATCTTCGTTTGTGTTCTACTGAAGAAACAAAGTCACCTACATCTTGGATGCCCTGGGGGTAAGCAGATAAACATCAAATTTTAATTTTTGGGTGAACTATCCCTTTAATTGTGAAATATCTGACTGAATATTGTTTCAAAGGCAGTTTTTTCACAGTGCTGCAGAAAGCCACCGAAAAATAGGAAACACAATTGGACAACAAGGATAGAGAGGATGAACTAGTAAAAGAATGAACTACTGTAAAGAAATCAAGTTATAAATGATAAAATGCATTACCACTTGATCTCCTGGTGAAGCTGGGACCAGGTCAACACTCTCCAGCTGGGCAGTATGGGTAAGAAGAGGCAACGGAGTAATGGTCAAAATCTCATCACACACTGCTACCAACTGACGACACTAGAGAAAGAGACAGGAAGAAAAAGAAAAAGATTGGTTATTTCTTCTGAAGTAATGAATATAATCACATGTATTATTGGAATATAGAGGATTATGTAGGCTACACTACCATTTAACTGTTTGGTGTCGGTAAGATGTTATTTGGAAGAATACTGCAGTATACACTGCAGTCCCAATGATGAAAGGATGATTCAGAAAACTTCAAATTAAAAGTTAAAATGCCACACTTTTAATATTAAATAAAGTACTGTAACAAATATATAAGCTGCACATTTGCTTACAACCTTATAAGCTCATTACACTAAACTATTGTTACAACAAGTGAAAATTACTTTTTGTGGTAATTGACAGCATATCAGTTAGGCCTACCACAGAAAGTTTGTAACTGTTGTGTCACTGAAATGTATTAATATATTCATATGAACATCATAACTGCAATATGCATAAGGCTTGAAAATATAATGCAATATCATAATATAATACAGTATAATAATAATATATGACTACAGTATGTTAATGTAATTTAAAGAATCAAAAGATATGTAGAAAGTAAGAGTGAAAACAGAAGACCCATGATCTCTTACTATAGATATAATGTCCTTCTCCTTTTCAAACACGGCGGTTTCCTACAGGGAAGAGAGAGAGAGAAATGAGAACACTTACTAAAAATGCAAGTGTTTCCACCCACTGAGGATTTTAATCCAGAATTCAGAGATCTACAAACACACATGAGGGGAGTTCACCTAACCCACTCACTCCAGGGCTGATTCAGCTCCTTCACACCTCTCAATGAAACACTTCCTCAAACAGAGTGACACTACACACCGCTAACATACAGCCAGCAACCCGTACAAGACCTAAGCACAAGATTACATGCACACAAGCGCACACTCATATTGATGACTGTACTGAACATGTAGATCACAGTCTAATTAAAGGATTAGGGTGGCCACTGAGGATCGGTGGCAAGAGAAAAAGCGTTTGAACCAGATTTACTGATGAGCCAGATCTTATGTAACATCCCTGAAGATAAACACTGAATCCCAGACCACCAACAGATTCACTTCAGCCAATACACAACTCACTCAGCCATGAAGTTCAGCACAAATAAAACCAAAACAAATAAGGGCTCATATCCAACCTCAGAGCTGTTTGTATTGGCTAAACAGATTCAGTGTTAGTCCATCTGAGGCATGAAAGTATGCACTTACTGAACTCAGGTATGCGAGAGAGAGGATATGACATGACGCGCAGCTGAAGAATTTTGTGGGAGGTATGTGTGTGTGACACCGATGGCTCACTTCTCGTTAATTTAAACAGGTGTGTCACTTCCCCTCATGAGAAATCAACACACACCCAAACCTTTAGGCTCACAAAGAGTTTTATTTGAATGCATTCATTTCCAGTGGACCATTAAAACCTAAGGTTCAGAGCAAAGTAAGAGGTAAACCATCAGTATTGTTAGGGCAAGAATCACTATTACTACTTTTCATATTGCTTGTCAACTTAAGCTTAACATTCAATTATGTATATTATACAGCATGTATTTTATAAATATGTGTGTGTTACATATTTGACCCTGGACCACAAAACCAGTCATAAGGGTCAATTTTTTTGAAATTGAGATTTATACATCATCTGAAAGCTGAATAATTAAGCTTTCCACTGATGTAGGGTTTGTTAGGACAGGACAATATTTGGATATGATGCAACTATTTGAAAAAAAAATCTAAATATTGAGAAAATCGCCTTTACAGTTGTCCTTAGCAATGCATATTACTAATCCAAAATTAAGTTTTGATATATTTACAGTAGGCAATTTACAAAATATTTTCATGGAACATGATCTTTACTTAATATCCTAATGATTTTTGGCACAAAAGAAAAATCGACAATTTTTATCCATACAATGTATTATTGGCTATTGCTACAAATATACCCCAGCGACTTAAGACTGGTTTTGCAGTCCAGGGTCAAATATATGAAATATATCATACTTATTTTATTTTTTTAATTAATAAATATTGTTTAAAAATAAAATCATGAATTAAATTTTTTTGTATTTTATTATTTTTATTTTATTTTATATATTTTCTATATTTTATTTTATATTTTATATTACTTATATTTTTTTTTTTACTTTACTTTACTCTTTACTTTACTTTATAATTGTGGTCAGTGAAAATGTGGCCCAACTGGCTAAACAGGAAAATACTACAGTTTGGGGTGGGCTATACTGGGCCAGTAAGCAACCACTTTACAATGGGTTAAAAAAAACTTGTTTTGCTAGCATTGTGGTGACAACTTATGCATTTTCTTCAAAAATGTTGTTTAGAAATAAACCCCTCAGTTCCCCTATAAATACACACACAGTTTGGAGTAAAACAATGAGATCTGACAGAGAGTCGCCCATTCAACACAGCAGTGACTGCTGGGATTCCACTTTAAACGAGAGCAATTATCTGCTTTGTTTGAGGTGATTAGATAAGCATATGTTTGTGCTTCCGAGCAGGTGCTTGGAACTAAGATGTGTCGTTGCCATGGAAACAGATGTAAGCGTAAAAGTGAATGAAATGACTGGATGGAATGATGTGGAAGGTCAAACAGGACACACACTGGTCATGTCTTCAGTGTAATTTAGTGTAATATCTTCTACTGTATATTCACACCCTGTCAAAGAAAACTGCCAGAGTGTATTTTTATAGGTCATTATGGTATAGTTCAAGCACAAGTCAGTCCTTACTGCTGATTTGAGAGCCATCTCACTGATTTACAACAATAAATCTCATCATAATCACATCCAGGAAAAGCAAGGCTAATCTGAATCAGAAACTACATATATTTTTGCAGAATCGCCTGATATTTTTGTTAGACATGTCTGCTACCATTTTCATATTTGTGTATTTAATAATTTTTTGAATTCAATTATCCTTTGACCTACAAACAACAGTGTAGCTTTGTCACCACCGGTTAATATATGCCACCATTTTAAAACCCATTTCACAAATCAGCACCGAAAATGGAAACAATAATTCAGGGAAATTTAAATACAAATACTTAAAGTTGAAATGAAATGAAAATTCACAATATTTTCTACATTTTGAAATGTTATTGTTCTTATTGTAAATTAAGTACCCATGCATTTCATTTTTCTATTTTATTTTTATGAAAATGTCATTATTACTAACTACAGACTTCTCTGTTGAAATATACAGAATTTTTCCAATCATTCAGTCTGCTTAAACCTTTTCTCAACACCAATATCTTAACATACGGTCAACAAACAATGTACGTATACAGGTGCATCTCAATAAATTAGAATGTTGTGGAAAAGTTCATTTATTTCAGTAATTCAATTCAAATTGTGAAACTCATGTATTAAATAAATTCAATGCACACAGACTGAAGTAGTTTAAGTCTTTGGTTCTTTTAATTGTGATGATTTTGGCTCACATTTAACAAAAACCCACCAATTCACTATCTCAACAAATTAGAATACTTCATAAGACCAATAAAAAAAATTTTTTTAGTGAATTGTTGGCCTTCTGGAAAGTATGTTCATTTACTGTACATGTACTCAATACTTGGTAGGGACTGAAATAAATTAACTTTTCCACGACATTCTAATTTATTGAGATGCACCTGTATAACAAAGTCCTTGTCCTTATGTTTTCTATTTCAATAATCTATTACACTTGGATATATACCACAATACAGAAGAAAATATCTTTTGCTATTTCTGTTTCATTGCTACTTTGAATGAGGTAAGAATGAAAGAATCTTTTGTCTTTTGATATATGTGACCCTGTACCACAAAACCAGTCATAAGGGTTTCTCGAAATTGAGATGCATACATCATCTGAAAGCTGAATAAATAAGCTTTTCTTTTGATGTATGGTTTGTTAGGATAGGACAATATTTGGTTGAGATACAACTATTTGAAAATCTGGAATCTGAGGGTGCAAAAAAATCTAAATACTGAGAAAATCCCCTTTAAAGTTGTTAATGAAGTTCTTAGCAATGCATATTACTAATCAAAATTAGGTTTTGATATATTTACGATAGGAAATTTACAAAATATGTTCATGGAACATTTATTTTTTTTTGGCATAAAAGAAAAATCGATAATTTTGAACCATACAATGTTTTTTTTTTTTGGCTATTGCTACAAATATACCCCAGCGACTTAAGACTGGTTTTGTGGTCCAGGGTCACATATATTCTGTGCATTGATTTGCACTGGGGTTCTTTTCCCCTTTTTTCTTTGTATGCACACAGCTGAGCAAATGCATAACTAAACGTATAACTGAAAATATTCACTTTCTCTCCAGTCCTGCTGTTTTTCTCATCTTTTAGTTCTATTGAGGCTGACGTCCTCACACAAAGGAGCTTCATTCAGCTCAAAAGCTTTTACCTTGTTATCCTCTAGTTCCCAACAAAGCTCCTCATTTCACACTGATAATGATCATTAACTCTGTTTTCAACACTGCAGAAAGAGAGAGAGCTTTCCTCAGTGATAAAACACAGGTCAGATCTTCTCTTTCCATCCTCTATCTTTTGCTCCCTCTCTTTGCCTGTAGCTTATTGGCATTACAAATAACTGCATTTGCAGCTGCATACAATGACAAAAACGGAGCAAACCAAAGTATATAAATGTTCTGTCTCTAGGCAGAGACAAACAGCTAAATCAAATGCTCTGTTAAAGGGTCACAGGCCAGCAGACCTGAAGATACTAAAAAAAGATCTGCCTCACATCCTGCATGGATCCATTTACAATTCTCAAATGCATAAACAACACACTTGCTTGTTTTCCTATCATGGTGGGAAATTTCCTTTGACTTCTATTGTTTTTATAGTGAGCTGATGATATTTAATATCCCCAAACCCTCACAGAACCCTTTCTACGTTTTTACATTGTCAATAAGGCATTTTTAGTATGTTTATTAATCTTGCATCCTATTTTGTACTACCTTCTAGACTGAATTTCCTAGCAAAAAATATACACATCAAGTCTAGTTTTGTAAACTGAGCATTACTGGTTTTAAACCTCTATGAGGTCTTTATATATCATCTACCATTAACCACATAGTAAGTAAACTAAACTCTGAACTGAATTTAGTCACTCTACAGAAGAGACAACTTCCAAAATTCCATAAAACAGACTTCCTCCCAGCTAATATTATACAAAGAAATTCTGAAGCAACTTCAGACTTGTAAACATTAAGGGAAAAATATATTCAAGATAAAAAAAGATAAAACAAGGACACACAGTACCTCTGTCTGATCGACGTGATCTTTTCTGCTTAATCCACTGATGTATTTCAGTACTGTGTGTGTATGAATTTCCTTTTGCACCCTCTCTCACTCTCTGCCTCTTATCTCTCTTTTAATTAATCTATCTTTCACTCCCTCACCTCTCCTTCTTTTTAAGTTCATTACTCCTCTCTCTCTTTCTCGATAAATTCATTGGCTGACAGCTAATTATTCCACACTCCCCGGGCAGTGCTGCCAATACATACAAACACACCAAAACACTCACAGGTGCAATTATATCTCTGATAAAAAGTTTCCCCTTCATATCTGGGGTGATCCCGGAGACACTGAATATTTGTTCATCTGTTCATTAAAACCTCAGCACCACCAGTGAGCAAGACACAGTCATCCATGTATGACACACTAGTATCACCAGAAACGTTTGCTTGACATGATGACCTTTCACTTCAGGTGACGTGGTTTCTATAAGGATCAGAGGCCCACCTGTCCCCTAACACCTGTTCTAACACTCACCTTCATGGCTTCAAATGTCAGAAACGTATTAAAACGTAAGCAGAATGAACACAGAAACCTTTAGACTGAACTGAGTTGAGGGGTCTGACCTCAATCAGATGTGAGTTATTTTGAGTTATAATATAGGATTTATCGGCTGTAATTTAATATACATTTTCCTAATTTTCTAATTATGTATATATAGAAAATTTTGGGGTCAGTAAAACTTTTTTAAAGAAATTTTTTTTTTTATACAGCAAGGATTCATTAAATTGTTTAAAAGTTACCAAAAATAATTCAATACTGTTACAAAAGATTTCTATTTCAAATAAATGCTGCAAATATGAAAAAAATCCCATTTTCCACAAAAAAGTGACTGTTTTCGACATTGCTAATAATAAGAATGATTACTGAAGGATCATGTGACACTGACAAGACTGGAGTAATGGCTGCTGAATATTCAGCTTTACAATCACAGGAAAAAATTACATTTAAAATATATTAAAATAGAAAACTTATTTTTCAGTAATAATTAATAATTCCCCATATTATTGATTTTATTGTATTTTTTGATCAAATAAAGGCAGTCTTGGTGAGCATAAGGGACTTGTTTCAAACGCATTAAAAAAATGACTGACACCAAACTTTTGAACGGAAATGTGTAACATTAGTATTTTCACTGGTGGTCTTTTGGACCCCATTGTATGCATGAATGATTATGTAAGGATTGATGATCCTGAACAGCTTTCAGTTTGTACATTAACTCTTCTCTTACTGTTGCCATTCTTACATGAAAAAGTTCCTGATTGCTGCACAAGAAAGCATTTGCACTCATGATACACACAATACTGTTTGTAGTGTGAACAGGAAGTATACAAACAATGCTTTTAAACTGGAAAAGATGCCATCAGCTTTAGGAAAGTGAACTCAGTGACAAAACAGAAAGAGAGAACAACGTTCTAGTGATTTACTCTGTGTTTGTGTGTGTGTCTGTGACAGTCGACAGAAAGAAGCTGATAGCATCAAGTGTCAACATTCTTAGTGCACACATTGCACATTGTTTCTCTATACACGCACAGAAACACTTAGCTTCTTTCTCATTTCCACACTTTCCTTCCCCTCTTTAGCAATGCCGTTTGGTCTCAGAGTGGACGTCTGAGTCACATCATCAACGATCAAACCCTTTTCTTGTTATTTCCCTCTATGAGTACACAAACAGCACCAAAAAGCCATTGAAACTTTTAAAAAGCGAACATGAAATCTGCAAGAAACATTAAGCAAATGGTTCAGATGCCTTTTGAATGATAACGCAAACCCAAATCTTGAAATAGATGCTATCTGATTTCCAGTGACACTGTGAGTATGTCAACATGTTTTATCATTAGTATGTGTGTGCATGTGTTTGTGGGTGTTAGTTTGCACCCAAGTAAAGGTGACTGTTAAACTTGTGAACCTTTCTGGGTTAAAGTATGTCAACTTAATGAATGGTAGAGACAGAAAATAAGCAATCAAAACTTATTAAAGTGTAAAATTATCAATGAATAGAAAAACAAACCCTACTGTTCAGGTCCAGATGAAAGATTCTTCTGATGAAGTGAATATCATGTGACCTTCTCTCCTGTATGCTCACCACAGGTGAATAACACACGACCAAAGTGTCTTTCAGTTCTCATAGTCTGACTTTTAACGCCCGCCCCCTCTCCCTCTCTCCCCCTCTCTCTCTTTCTCGGACAGCCTTAGCCCTCTTGAGTCCAGTGAATAAGTGTAATGAAAACCATGTGTTTGTCAGCATTATAGTGTGATTATATCAGGCCTAGAACAATTTTTCAAAAATAGGCAGCATGGACAGATTTAAAAATCACCAGAACCTCTACTTGACCATGATCACTTCAGCCACTACAGACTCAAACATTTCCCTCTACTGTGGTATACAGTGAGATATGACAGATATTTCCAATGAAAATTGACTTAAAGGTGTCATGACATGGATTTTTTAATTAATATGTTTCTTGAGGTTCACTTGTAATGTTACATTTTTGGCAGAGAACCCCCAAATATATATGCAGAAAAATTATTATTTTCAACCCTCATTTTGCCCCTCTGTCTGAAATTATCAAATTTTAGGGGATAGCTTCTTTAACATCATTGCATAGTAAATATTACCAATGACTCCTCGCTATTGCATGTAAGTGCTTTGAAAACATTATCAATATAAAATCGTCATTTACAGACAAATATTATGAAATTGTTAAATACGGTTTGCGATGCAGCTGCTGTCAGATCCAATACAGTCGGCTGCTTCACCTTTCAACAAATTTCTGTGCAAACTCTCCATTACACTGCGCCTCATTTACAAAACAATCTGAGGTAAAATGCTCCGAAAAAACATATAACAATTTGACGCAATCGGAGATTCCATTAAAATAAACTATCCACTTGTTCCTGACACTGGGATTCTTCTGAGGTCTGTACAGAGACGCAAACAAGCTGTTTTAACAGGACGTGTTGTAGGAAGACTCAAACGCATGGACATACATATATATGATATATAAGTATTTGTTGAAGTCTTCCACTGGAGGCATTCATATGCAAATGTTTTCGCCCGTGTGACATCACAAATCCCACAATATCCAAACGATATTGGCGATTATATCTGTTTTTGGAGCTTAAATAAAATGCTTTGTTTATAATGAGGATGACGTTTTAAGATATGAAACTTGAAGGATTTTTTTATGGTATAAAGACCTCTCGTATGTCAAAAATCGAATTGACTTCTCATGTCATGATCCTTTTCTATTTCAGTCCGTTACTCACACAAAGTTATTGCATTATTGTAACACTGAAGCTTGACAGTCACCGCCCCATTCACTTCCATTTTATGGAAAAGAGCAACTTAAATACTCTGTAACAATGCAAACAATGAAAATTTTTGAGTGGAATCTCCTTTAAAGCACTGTAACAAGAACACACTCACCTTATGCACTGTAATGTCCAGATCTTTACACAGAGTGGCAACTTTCTCATTTGCTGTGTATCCAGTCTGCTGTGCAAATTGATACCTATTAAAAAAGACATACACATTATGACTGAGAAAGAATGAAACGCCACAACACTACTTCATATGCAAATTCACTGCCTGTATATTAACACACAGGTAAACGTCACTCTGTGGTTCAGGCTGTGTGATTCTCACCTATTCAGCAAAGACACAAGTCCATTGGATGCTGTGATCACATCCACCACCGCTTGCAGCACCTGTTGTGACAGCTTGGTGGCGCTCTGTCCATCATTGGTATTGACACGCCAGCGCCCCTGTATGCTCATCTGCTGAGTGTGAGCCACTGCACGCAGTTTCTCTGTCAAACTGCGCAGATTGTCACCCCCAACACTGTACGTCTGCGTAGACACAAGAAAGAATATGTTAGGTGCCAGAGATGTGTATTTAAAAGTTGATCTACTTTTAATTTTACAAGGCACTCTAAAAATGTGGCAAAAAATGTGAGCGCAACAGTAAAGCGCCCATCTAGCATTTACATAGAAAAACAACAGACCCTTTTTACAGACTGTGATGATGCATTTCCACAGTTATTAACATTGTAAATCTAGCTTTTAAGTTTTTTTTAACTGCATGTACATCTATAACACTATACTTTGCTTTATACTATCTTGGCATTAAATTACAGAAATATTCTCTTTATCTCTTTTGACTAACATAATCAATCTCTTGATATTTTTTCCTCTTGAAAAGTCACAGAAATGCTATCGTGGATTTTTTTCTTTTGCTGTTGCTAACAATATGAACTCAGAAAACGTTTACCCAACTATGATGACTTCTGTGTTCTAAATAACTCAAAGGACAAATAACCAACATTTAAAAGATAAATGTGCAATATTTATACCTCACTTTTTCACTTACTATGTACCTTTCATCCTACTCTGAAATGTCATGGCATATTTCCTATCCTACAAACATACTTTCGACCTCAGCATAACTAATGTCCTCATATCCCACCAAAGCCTGATCTGCCTTTGGTCCACGCCTTGATAATTTTAGGTTTGCTAAATTAAAAAAAAAAGTCTTCTTTAAGCCTGAATGTGCTGTTACGACACACACACAGGGAGTCCTGGCACCAACAGGTCCACATTAATCCTCCCAGCGGGCAAAACATTTACAGCACATGGAGCACATCCACTGTCAGCTCAGGGGAAGCTTCAGTCTACCAGCCAGCAATCAACATATTTAAATGATCTGAAAATGAAGTGAAATGACTGTACTATTTATTTCTTGAAACCACACGTAATGCTCACTATAAATCCATGATATTGCACAGCTAAGATGACTGAAGACAAGCATGGAAGTGGAAACGGTTTCAAAAAATAGGCCAGACACTTGTGGAAGAATGTTCCCTGAGATTTGGCTGGAGTTTTGTTAGTGTTACAGGCCTCTGAGAATACAGCTTAAGTCAGCAGGGTGAGCAACTCTCACAGATGCAATGAAATTCACAGACAGAGAGAGAGATGGTATACAGAGCAGTTCAGTCACAGACTAATGCTATAAGTGTATAAATAATGATTTTAGTCTTACAGCATTCCTCACCTCTATAACAGAGGCTCTAATATGGGTAGCAGACAGGCATGTGCAACACAAACGCTAACAAAAACTCATACAGAAATATTTAATATCAGGTTATAAAATAACAGAAAGTTATTATTACAATACAAATACACCCAGAATTCACAAATCACACACTTAAATACAAGCTTTATTTTCTTTATAACACTCCATTCAGAAGTGTTGTTTTAAATAGACGCTAATAATAAATAGGCTAAACTTAGCACTGAACACACCCCTTGGTATTACTTAGAATTATTTATTCTACTGGGAGCATTTATATATTTTGTCCTCACAAAGATTAATGTACACACACACACACACACTCAAGGGTCCTACCAAAGCACAGAGTTTTTCCACAGCCTCCAGTATAAGTTCCTGATGTCCGATTTTATGCACTCCAAGTTTCTCCAGTTTGGTAGATGAAAGATGCAGCAGATCTGAGCCAGAGAGGTGCCATTCAGAGAACGAGTACTGTTGTAGAGGAGCATCCAGACCTGAAAAATGCACAGATATATGACACAAAGTTAAATAAGAGTAAACAGCACTGAGAAATTTAAGTTCATGAACAGTTCAAATTAAAGTGAGAATTGAAGTTCATCACAGTACCAAATGTTATCATCAATCATAATATAAAATCATGTACGTTAAAATCATAATATAAATATTATTACAAAAAATATTAGGATGATAATATATATATTATTATATATACACACTTCCATTAAAAGTGTGGGGTACTATTTTTTGGATGCATTAAATTTGTCAAAAACAAAAGTAAAAACTTTTACATAGTCACAAAGGTTTTCTATGTATGTACAATAAATGCTGCTCTTTTGAACTTTATATTCATTAAAGAATAACTATAAGCATATTAAGTTTATAGTTATAAATATATTAAGCAGCACAGCTGTTTTCAACACTTATAAAAATAAGAAATAGTTATTGTACACAAAATTGGCATATTATATTAATTTCCGTGACCCTATAGACTGTAGTATTGGCTACTGAAAATTCAGCTTTGCCATCACAGGAATAACTTATATTTTAAAATATATTAAAGCACAAAACAGTTCTTTTAAATTGCAATAATATTTCGCATTATTTATATTTTTCAGCATATTTTTCAGCAAATAAAAGCAGCCTTAGTGAGCATAAGTGACTTCTTTCAAAACCATTAAAAAAAACTAACCAACCCTAAACTTTGGGTGCATTTAAAAATTGCAATTGATGAAAATTATATTTGACCCAAGCAAAATACAGAAAGAAAAAATTATGTCAATAGGTAGTTAGTACAAGTAGAGAGATCCCAACACACTATGAATGAAAGGAAACAGCTACATGAGGAGCTCAAATACAACCCACTGATCAATCCACACATACACAAAAACTATTTCCATAGATCCATTATAATGGAAGGAAATGAGTGGCCTAGCATGAAGAAGGTGCCCAGGAGGCATCTGGGTCCTGCACACTGAAGTTGTGCAGCCAGCTGTTGTTGAAAGTCATGTTAAAACACACATCTGCTATGTATTTACTATAGGAAAAAGCACTTTAACCCCTATGTGACACAAGTTTCTATTGTTAATTTTGGAATGAACAAGGTAAAAAGTCCAGTTGAAGGTACTAGATGGATTCTCGTCAGCACATATTTACTGTAAATGACTGTATACTGTGACACTCAATCAGTGAACACTGAGGATTTAAGCTTATTTCTCTGAGCTGGTAAAATACAAAGATTTTGGGCCCTGAAGAAAATTTCTTTGTGTAAGATTTTTACGCAACTACACTCTAAAAAATGCTGGGTTAAATATAACCCAGCGCTGGGTTAAAAAGGGACAAACCCAGCTATTGGGTTGTTTAGACCCAGTGGTTGACAGAGATTTCATAACTGTCGGAGACTATTCTCTAATCTAGATTCATAAAACATGTACAGTATTTTACTATAATTGGTTTAATTAAACCATATAAATTAATAGCAGGGAATATAAAGCTTTATCACATTTTGCTTTGATATTTTTATTCAGCCTTTAAAGATCCCATAAGACACACCAATGTCCAACATTGTACAAACACAAACAAACAAGTGAGATAAGGGGCTCTATGCTTCTGTCACAGTCTAATACAGTAGGTTCAGGGCTTTAACAGAATCCCAGTAAAAGTACAAACACATAAGTAGTCTACATTCATAAAGTGCACATTCTAATATTTTCATTATGAATTCATTATGCTTGTATTTTAGAGTATATAAAGTGTTATAAATAACTAATTGCTTCTTTGAATTCAAAGGCTAGGAAAATTCATGTTAAGATCTGTTTGACATGTACAGTATTTTACTATAATTGGTTTAATTAAACCATATAAATTAATAGCAGGGAATATAAAGCTTTATCACATTTTGCTTTGATATTTTTATTCAGCCTTTAAAGATCCCATAAGACACACCAATGTCCAACATTGTACAAACACAAACAAACAAGTGAGATAAGGGGCTATATGCTTCTGTCACAGTCTAATACAGTAGGTTCAGGGCTTTAACAGAATCCCAGTAAAAGTACAAACACATAAGTAGTCTACATTCATAAAGTGCACATTCTAATATTTTCATTATGAATTCATTATGCTTGTATTTTAGAGTATATAAAGTGTTATAAATAACTAATTGCTTCTTTGAATTCAAAGGCTAGGAAAATTCATGTTAAGATCTGTTTTAGGAAAGAACTTAAGTAGCATTATAACACTATTCACTATTAATTAGCTGCTTATTAACATGCATATTACTAGAAATTGGCTGTTTATTAGTATCTAATGCCTTATTCTACATGACCATATGTAGACCATATATCTTACTTACTATCAGTATGCAGCAAATTAGGAGTTTATTGAGGGAAAACTCTTAGTTAATAGTGAATATGTGTTACCAAAACGTATTTTATAAAACAAGCAAGGAGCTTTAATATTATGAAAGAAGTGTGGAATTCCTTTGTTTTGTCCAACTGTGTGAAACTGCTGGATTACAAAATTAGGGTGAAGATCTTATTGGACGTTTTAAGATACAGATTCAAAAACACAAATATTTTGGGTGGAGGTGTTTTAAATGCATAATAGAAAACACCAGGGCTAGTTAGAATGCCAAAAGAGTTGTATCTCAGTCACTATGAGAAAAGAGCTGTATCTCAGTCACTATGAGATTTTTAAATGCAGTCCAAACAAACAAACATGTGTTTTCTCTCTACTTCTCTCTTGATGTCAGACTACCTGTTCAAAACCCTCTTAAATTCATTCAAAAACTGAAAATCATTTTTGTTAATTCTGCCCTGCAAACTTAAATTACAATATTTTACAATATGTATATAGTATTAAACATGCAGGTTCATTGTTTTGTATTTCAAAACCATTTCAAGTTTGCTGAAAGTCCTGTTTAATGGCATGATGAATTGTGACAACATGCCCCACTGTTGGCGACATTGTCATAACATCATGTGTTCAATGAACTATATCTTTTTTTTTCTGGGCAGTATCATTCAAAACTTTCAGTAGCCAAGGCTTTTAGTAGACAAATCAAAAGATAACTATTCACTGAACTAAAAAGTCAACTATTCTCCTACTTCACAGTATCAAGCCACTGTAAAGAAGATAACATAATAGAAATAAAAAGTAAAAAAAGTGTGAAAAGAACAGAAGTACGCATAATAGAAAACACCAGGGCTAGTTAGAATGCCAAAAGAGTTGTATCTCAGTCACTATGAGAAAATAGCTGTATCTCAGTCACTATGAGATTTTTAAATGCAGTCCAAACAAACAAACATGTGTTTTCTCTCTACTTCTCTCTTGATGTCAGACTACCTGTTCAAAACCCTCTTAAATTTATTCAAAAACTGAAAATCATTTTTGTTAATTCTGCCCTGCAAACTTAAATTACAATATTTTACAATATGTATATAGTATTAAACATGCAGGTTCATTGTTTTGTATTTCAAAACCATTTAAAGTTTGCTGAAAGTCCTGTTTAATGGCATGATGAATTGTGACAACATGCCCCACTGTTGGCGACATTGTCATAACATCATGTGTTCAATGAACTATATCTTTTTTTTTCTGGGCAGTATCATTCAAAACTTTCAGTAGCCAAGGCTTTTAGTAGACAAATCAAAAGATAACTATTCACTGAACTAAAAAGTCAACTATTCTCCTACTTCACAGTATCAAGCCACTGTAAAGAAGATAACATAATAGAAATAAAAAGTAAAAAAAGTGTGAAAAGAACAGAAGTACTTATATTACATATTAATTGTAATAAATATTACACTTCACATTTTATAGTTATATTATATATATATATATATATATATATCAATACAAAAGTACTGTAAGGCTAATACATAATTCAAAAGCAACCCACAAAAGAACCACTAGTATTAATACGCAATACTACAGCAGCCTACTAATGTAACTACAGTTTAAATAGCCTACAAAGCGACACAAACACTATTGTAAAGTAGGCCTATAAAACAAATAACAAAGTACGAGTGTTAAAATGAAACCACAGAACATAGAGACGTGCGCATATATAGTGAGCGATGTGGGCCAGTCTAGACTTGCACGGAGAATGACAGCAGCAGATTTGATCGCTTTGCAAATGAGGACAGACGTATCAATACAATACAGTTTGTTAAGTTAAATCGCGTTTGTATTCACCTGCTGTGAAATAATTTCGCGCGAGAGTTTATCAACAAACTAAAAGGCGCTTCCTCATTCCACTAACACCTTCCCTTTCCTTTGGGATTTGTGTTGTTCCTGTTTAATTAGCCCTTATCTCTCTCTTTCGACTGACATAAAGTCACCTGTCGGTCGCAGAAATCACAGACACACAAACATAAACACAGCCCGTTACCTTTGAGCCACTCGGTGACTCTCTCGTTGCTCCAAGACGTTACGGGCTCCATGATCTTAGGAGCACGAATTCAAATCCCTGAAGTGGATCAGAGCAAAGAAAAGTTCATCCTGCTGTCTGCTTGGCACACCTTCCTACAGGTAAAGCTGCGCTCTCAGCCAATGGTGTGCGGCGCTGGTGTCCGGTGCACTGCGCCCGTCTCGGTTTGCAGGGAGGGGTTCATGAAACTCGTTCATAGAAGCAATTCAGTGTCCCGTCACCGAATCAGTTTTCTCTGTTTGCTTGACTCCCACCCTGCAAACTTCAAGTGTTTTTATCAACTTATTTAACTCTTTAGAGTCTTCGTCTTAGTCCTTTCTGGTGTTAGTAAAGTGTGGGGAACTATTTTAACCCATTAGATCCCATTTCCCCCAGCTAAATTGTATTGTACATGTATTTCACTGTTACACAACTGGATATTTTCTTACAAATTAGTGAACGTATGACAATCGTGAATTCATGCTGGTCAACAAGAAACAATAATTTAACATAATGTTATTATTTACATTGTTATGTTACATTATTAGGCTATTTCTTGTTGACCAACAGAGGAATTTTTAAGTAGCCTATAAAAAAATGTAAATAGGCCTACAGCTTAGCTGGGAGAAATGGTAGGCTATGTAATGAATTAATATAGTTTACAGTTAGACCATTGTAAGAGGAAAAAAACATGCCAAGACTTTTGACTAAAGCACTGCTGGTAAATACAATTATAAATATATAATTATACATATGTAACATATAACTATATACATACTATATACATATGGTACATATAATTATAAATACGTAAATTAACAAATTAATTATATATATGAAAAAAAGAAAAAGATATCTTATTTATTAATAATCTCAGTAATCCAGTATATAATCCAACCTGAAATGGTTCGCTGGTTTTAGATGAGGTTTAGGGTTTGGGTTTTGGGAGACCAGCATTTTTTTTTCCAACAGTGCATTGTACTGCAATCTAGCGCCTTCTACTGTATGTGTGATTGATGCATTGTTTAGGTGATGTGTGTAAACGCATATACATAAAAAAAAACATCTATTGTTCAAACCTGATCAAACATGTCTCAAAAGCACCATGCAGTCTTGGCTTCACTGAGCTCTGTAATTCATTCCTCCCATACAGATCCAATTGTAAACAGAGTGCGTCTCTCTCTGTAGTTTTAGATGCTTGTGCAATAAGGCAACATCGCAGAAACCATATGATTCAGAACGGATATGGAGTAGATGATAAAAGAGCAGCCGCTTCAAAAGCAAAGCAAGTGTATGATTTGATTTGCATTCTATTGTATCGGATAGACGCGGGCAGGCATTGAGTGGCCTTATGAAACGTATCCTTGAAGCTCTTGAACTCTTTGATAATAGTTTTACTGAGTTATGGCGGTGTACCGGACCTGACGTGGATTATATTATTCAAAATCCTTTGTTCTCAACCGGACTCCACTAAAGATTCGTGAGCAACACAGTGTTCGAAAAGGTTGCATTTCGCTGTCACTCTAGTCGCACAAATGGATGTATATTGTCGTCGCCCAGAGCTATATATTAAATTGTATATGTTATAGCCTTTCCAGCTTTATCAGCATACATACAGTACACTAACGTAAAGTGATATACTAGCAGACCTTAACTGCCTACTTTTTTAATTTTGTTGCAAAATGTAAATATAGCTATTATCGCCTAGCTCTAATCTGCTAAATGCAGCAACTTTAAGACTGATAGTATAAACATCAACATCATTTTCTGCTAAGCTGCTTTGAAAGCAGTGTGTATTGTTTGTGAACAGTGCCATATAGATACACTTGCTTTTTTTAGAGAAAAAATTTGGCTTATATAATGTTTTAATTTAATTAAACATTTATTTCGTACAACATTCATTAGAAATTGACCCTTGGCCTAATTTCAAACTGTGTATTGGTTCTCAGATCTCAATTTAATTTAAGTATAAATCTAGACCTGAGACCCATGAGGCTTTCTTCCTCCCTCTTAAGCTGCAAGGAAATATCCAAATACCATTCAATCTTTTGCATGTCTGAGCACATCAGGTTCTTCATGTTGACAATTGTAAATGTAAGAAATGAGATTCACTGTTTTGCCAGTATACTTGCCAAATCTAGATCCAGATAATCTCAGATTATCCAGAATGCCACACCTTTTCTTATGTATAAAAGAACCATTCTTAAGTATAAAACAACTATACTGTTTACAGATTCAAATATATTTGCATTAATGACTATTGCTTTATGACTCCGCTTCTCTTAAGTAAACAACGTTATTGATGCACGCTTTTATTTAGATGTTGACTTCTAACAGGACCTGATCCAATCTGTGTTTTTCATAATTAGTGTTTGCTGGATATTTTTCTCAAATTGGCTGCTAAGAAAAGAATAATTATGCAACGCAGAAGCAAATGAATTCACACCTGGCAGAAAGACAGAGTGAGGACACTGATGAACGTCGTGATGGCACAAGAAATGCATATCTGCAAGAAATCAAGCACATTCTCCCTCTTACACTCTTAGAGAAACTGTGCTGTTTCATTTTAATCTACATTAATGGATTTAAATGGGCTGTAAGGTACTTTGCCAGTTTTGGTTTTGCATAACATTTAAAAGCAACTGTATGGTGTGTTTTGCATGCAAAATATGTTTAATACACAAGATGGCTCAAAATATTTTGGAGGATATTTTGTATTTAGGAGACACATTAGGTTTTCTGCCTCTCTCTAACATATTTAGAATGGCATTACCTGTTTGAATAAAGGTATGTGTCACGAATCCGGTCCATGAACTTCCAATTTCATTGACTCTCGCACTGCACACTGTTGAACATCACCCCGGACTACATTTCCCATCCCATCACTGATTGCACTCAGCACGGATTGCACACAGCTGTTCACACTGATTGCACCCAGCTGTTTCATATCACTCCCTCACTATTTAACACTCACTCTGATCCCTTCCCTCTGCCGAGTATTGTTTCAGCGTTTATCACTCCCCTAGTGATAGCTACACTACAGAGCCCTCAGTCATTGCCCAGCCTTAGCCTTAGCCTTAGCCGCGTTCTCGGTTTCTGATCTTCGCCTGGTTTCCTGGACTTCTCCCCTAGTCTTGCCCCTTCTGATTCTGTCTGCAGTTCATCGACCCACGCTAGCCCTAGGATTATTCTTGTGTTTTGCCCGCCATATACCTGTCTGCCTCAGTTTGACCCTGCCTGCTTCATGACCATGTCTCTGTCTTCTCCACAATAAAAGCTTTGCGAATGGATCCGCACGTCTCGCGTCTCGTCAGCCCCGTAACAGAATACTCGGCCACACAAGGATCCAGCGGCTTTTTCAGTGGACTCTGGCCTGGTATGGACCCAGTCACCGCTACTATATCTTCGGCAAGGAGGTCTTTCTATTGAGGAGTATGTTCACCGGTTCTGTGAACTATCTTATCAGGTACCACTTTATGATGAGATTTTATTTAAGGACTTGTTTCGTTTTGGACTTAATGAACCCACGAAATCTCGTATGCCAAGGAGTGAATGCAACTGGAGCGTAAAGGACTTTATTGACTATGCCTTGCTGACTACTGGTTCAGCGTTCACGGTGGGTGCCGCGGAGGAAGGAAGCGACACCATGTCTGTGGCAGTTTTATACTGTGCACAGTATGTGCAAAGATTACCCAACTACATTTGCTGAAATACAGTGCAGCATACAAACCCAGCCCAATGCACTGAATCCCACAATGCAATGTGCTCAACTTGATATTCCATTTCCAGAGTGATGAATGAACGCAAAACTTGCCATAATATAACCCGATCTCATTAATGTGCGTTTCAATGGCACACTTTTGTTTTCTGTTTCTATTTGGCAAACTATTTATAAGCAAAAGTGGACTTTGGCGTGCATATGATATGCAATTGGTAGGTTTAGGGGTGTGGGGTAGGTGCGTATTATATGTACGCCAATATCCATGCACGTCAAACACATGCATATCGTATTCACGTCAAAGTCAGTTTCTGTGTATAAATAGAGACTGGTGTTAGATTTTGCTGTATTTGGCTGAGCAGTAGTTTGGGTGGTTTGCCAATGTACTAGAGTTCTATAATACATAAAATAAGTAAGCTTGACCAAAGTTCTTGTGGGGAGAAGATTTTATTGAAGGTAGCAGTGTAGCAGTTCTTCAGCAGTAATGTTTGCATTTCTTCCTTCAAACAATCTTAACCCAAGGTACTGTCTGTGAGACCAGACCTTTATACCTGGTAAAAAATGAGCTACAAACAATACAATAACACCCCATGGAGAGCCAATGATAGTGTAACCTCATGATGACCTGATAGGACCTCTCCCATGGAGAGCCCATGATGCATTGACCTAATGCTGACCTAATGGGCTAATTGCATGGGCCATTTGGGCCACGGCACAGTCACAATGTAAATGCATCTGACTAAAGATACACAATCTTTCACTGGGCTCTAGTGAGCACATTGTCTCCTTTTCTGTTTTTGCTTGTTTATCATATTTTATGATAATAACTAAAACTGTTTTATTGCTATTTGTTATGCTGCATATTTCTCATGCCAGCACATACACAACACTACTAGTAAGAGGTAGCTTCAAATGTTTTTGATCTCCTATTAAACATACACTGAGTCGACAATGCCCTTAAAACCTTCACATCCTACGATCAATACCTAAATAAACATATAATGTATAAACATATAATTTTTTAGAGTCATTGTTTCATGAATTGGAGTACGCTGGTTGTGCTACAAGTTTCATTTTAAAAAAGGTTCTTAAGAGTCATTTTGTCAGTGAACTGGACTACACTGCTCTGTATTTGTTTGTGTTTGTTTTTGCGTGCAGCCTGTGAGAACAAATTAATAGAAAGAGGGTTTTCTTACCAGTGTAATTTGTGGTACAAGGTTGTTTTATCTCATCACATTCAATTTAGATTGCAAGCTCACAACAAAATAACTTTTGACACAGAACTCTTGGGAAGGGAGAGGACAAATGTTTATTTCTGTGGAATGATTGCTTTTTTTCTGGTCAATACGAGAGTAGCATTAGGTAAACTAATCTGATTACGTGTCCTTGAAAATGTAGCGAGG